CCCCAAAACCCCAAAACCCCATAAGCAAGTATTGAAGGTATTCTATCTGTTAAGAAAATAAATTTTAAATCTGATCATATAAAATTTAACTTCTTTGATTAATTAATGAGCAGCAACTCATAGTCTTAGAATTTCGACAGGGAATCGCCTTTTAAAGAGTACCAAACAATAGGGAGCATTTATTCGCGAACCAAAATAAATTAAACAATCTTTGGGTAGTTAGATGACATAACAAATTTACTTAATGGATCAGATAATCAGGTAATGCTGCTCAACGAATATGATTCGGTCTAATCATCAAAATACGATTAATAACACAATATTTTGCTTCAAAACACTAGCCAGATTGAAAAATCTCATAATGTCAGAGCTAGTTAACTCAATTCCAATGACTGTATTTAGGAAGAATATTTTAAATATCCAGATTTAATACAGAACGATACAGACTAGCAAAGCAGGAATCAAAACATTAATAAAATAATTAGTGGAAAAAGTTCCCAATATTATTACTTAGAGGAAGTTTTTTAAACTGAAGAGATATGTGGAGTGCACGAGCCTCTTCCCAATTAAAACTTCATTACTGAAGAGGATCAAAATGATGATGAGCTATGTTATGAAGAGATTAACCTTGACTTGCAAAGGAATCAGATCTAAGAGCTTATCAGTGACGAGGATATAGATGATAGCCCGAGCATTTAAACTCCTATCAAAGATATGAGTTTATATAAGTCCATCAACATTTAAAACTTTTCTGAAGACAAAAAATCCAGTATAATCGAATAAGAATAAGCACTGAGGCCATTTCCTAATACGTCTCCGCTTAATTAAATTTAGTAGCAAAGCCCTCTACCGACTTAAATTAATAATTTAGTGGTGGCAGAAGTTGATTAAGATGAACTATAGCAAATGAGCAAGTAAAGCAGGTTATTCGTGCTTTAGAAAATGGAGATTGAGGAGGACTCTGTAAATTACACCGATGAAATGCAGTAAGAAACCCCTTCCAATGATGGGCCTTACTATACAGTAGGAACAACTGAGAGAAACTACTTTTCAAATAGAGATGGAGAACTAATGAGGGTCAAAAGTTCATTGATTGGAAACGTTAAGGAAAGTTTCAAGGATACTGAGCCCTTGTAATATGATCAGAGATCTGAAAATAATTATAATCATAATGCTTAGGATTTTGCAATTACAATGGAAACTTAAGTCTAAAATCTAGAGGAAAGCAGCTAAAATTAAAATCGAACCGATGATGAACAACAGACTGAGAAAATCAATTATGATGTTATAAGTAGCTCAGACAAATATTATCAAATAAGTAACTAAAATAATCTTATGACTCAAGAAGAAAATTTCAATCCTTAATTAGAAGTAAACTAAAATTAGGATCCCCCAAATGACTAGCATCTAGAGTTTCTTAGAATATAACAAGAATTTTAGCAATTAAGCAGTTAACTTGAAGAGCATTACTAAAGGGATCTGCAAATTATCAATTAAGTCAAGAATTATGAAATATTCTAAACATTCGCCCATTAGACATCATAGAACTCTGACATTGATCCTCAACACTCGAGCAATGATGTTGAATTGCCATCATTGGGGTCATCAAAAGTTCACTCGATGAATGAATCAAGAAATTAAAAGTCTAAATCCCCTAATAAGATTGTTCTGTAGAACGAGGAAACTTAGCAGGACGACTAAGATTAAACTGAGTTTCAAGCAGCTGACTATAATTCAGTAGAGAAATTGATTGAATCTCGTAGAGACTCTCTGAACAATAATAATGTGAGTAGTAACTACATTCTTAATCTAAGAATCAGCAAGAATTCAAGTTAAGTCAAGCATGAACTCATTGAGAATGAGGCTAAGTCAAATATTCTTAGCAGAGACTGCAGCTTTTCACCAGTTAAAGATGAATTGAATGGAAATTTCAAACTTTAAAAAATTCCATCAAGCAGTAAAGTATCTACTTAATATTAAACGCTTCAAAATATTGACCTAGGCTAAAATACTGTTGAATGTAATCAATCAAAGCAATAACCTTCCAAAGCCATTACTTAGCTTAGGCAAAAAGTGGTGGTATTAGGAGATTTGTAAAATTTATCTAAAAATTTAAAACCTAACAAAGCCAACAAAAAACCTTTAAACTCACAGAGAACAATGGATACAAATAATAAGAAAAAAGATAATTTGATTAGCACTACTTTTGACAAGAAAGCCTAATTTTTAAAGTCTCCAAGAGGTTAGGATCCTGTGATATCTCTGAAATCTCCTAATAAAAGGTTATCAGACGTAAAATCTCCTTATAAATACCAGTCTGTTCAATAATCTGCAAATAAGACTTAACTACCAAAGTCATTACCAATCAAGGAGTTTCAAAATACTGCATCAAAACAAGATAAAAGATATTCTTTATTATCAGCTAAGAAGTCACCTACAAGACCCTAACAGATGATGCCAGTAATAACGAAGACAATCACAGAGTTTCCTACTCATACTCTTAGAAGAGTTTATGTAGATTATGATTAAAAAGGCAAGAAATTTGTAGAAAATTTGACTATCAACAAATTAAGAAATAGTATCTTTGAAAGTAAGAAGCAAAAGGAGAATTCAATAACAAGAGAAATGACTTAGATAATGAAGTTTTCAAGTAGCTTATAGCTTTCTCAAGACTAGACTAAGATATCTTTGAATTATAGTAGAAATAACACTGATATGATGTGTACTGGGAATCAATCAGCTCTAACTAGACTAATATCAGGTGACAAACTCAGAAAAATTGAGAACCTTAAGACAACCTCTACCTTTGATTAAAGAAAAAGTCATGCTCCATCTGTTAAGATAAATCTAGCTCAGACTAGCACTTAATGTAACCAGAAAAGTCAGCAAATAGTAAGAGACTTGATACCGAATAAACAGAATAACTCAACCATTCAAAATCAAAGAACTAAGCACTTCTACTCATCTAATGTCTTTTAGTTATGATAAAAAGTTTTCTAGGATTGACAGAAGCAATTGTCATCATAATCGAGATTAGAATATGAATCCTTCTTGACTATCATCAGCATTAGATTGAGCAAATCTTAACTTATTGAACTTAACTTTCCTTTAAAGATGTATTTGAACTTAAATTAATTATATCAATACAAATATAAATATCACAACAAATTTAAAAGGTTTAATTTGTAATTTTCCCTTACTCAGACAAATTCCCATTAAATTTCAGTCATTTAATAATCACAATTAGATATTTTTGTTTCTAGGAGGCATAGCACTGTATATCCTATCTCTAAGAGGATTACATCTAGACTAAGCGTTTCTAGATAGAATCATCTGTTATCTTGAAGTGATTATTTTATTTTGAAGCACCAGAGTGAAGTTATTATGTGGCTTTGATAACTATCGCTGCCTTTCTTCTTCTAAAATTTACTGAATTTATTCAGGCGTGGGCTAGTTCATCATCTATATTTTTAATTCTTCTTATCTTCTTCTTTTCTCTATAATGTCATGAAAATATTCCACAGGGCCTATGAGTTTCCTCTTATGAAAACTGTCAGAGTTATTTAATTCCTGTATAGCTTTTTTGGGGCCTATGATAGAGGTTTATGCGGAATTTATAAATACTTGACATAAGAACTGCTTTATGAGGCTGAAAGTAGCATTGATCATTTTCAGGGGACTAAAATTCTGTTTATCTTAAAGCAATGACTGTTCTTTTACTACTAAGTGGTCTTTATGTTAATAGTTCTTGCTTTTTTTCTAAATCCAAAGTCAATTTAGGCAATAAATTTTCTTACATAAAGCATAAACATTTGACGATTTAGGTCTTATAATTCTAAAAGTCTTTGTTCGCCTTTAAGGGGATGAGAAATAGTTATTTTCAGTCTTCATAAATGTAGATAGTGGTCCTCCATCATACTCATCTATTTACGGTGATGCAACATCTTATTTAAGATTCGATCTAATTTATGTCATTGAGGGGTGTTTGCTAGTCATTAAATTTTTTAATTAAAATTAATCTCAAATAAATTATAAGACAATGAGTTTTCATAAGGAATTTTCTTCGCTTGAGCGTAATAATCAAGAAAGGCATGATTAACCTGATTTATCACTTTTTGAGATTCATATGCAGCTTTACAATAAAGTTTCTAAGTTTGATAACTCTCCGCTTGATCAAGAAATTTCTAGAAAAGTACAGAAATAATAGAAATAAGCGCTCATTGTAAGTAAAATAATTGATCCTTAAAGATATAGTAACTAAAGAGAAAAGAGCAAGACGATCGATCTTACATTTATGAATTGACAAGATAAGAATTAAAAAGCAAGCCTAATGATTATTTTTCAATAAAGAATAAGAAGAGATATTACAACTACTTAGTAAACAAGAATCAGATAGGACTGGAGAAGCATAGTATTGAAAACTCATAAAAGGTACTCCAAAAATTAGAAAATTTAAATAAAACTGGCAGTCAGAATCGGGAAAACAACAATTAGACAACAGATTTCCATATTCGCTAATATTAGCAAACTGTGAAGCGATTAAAAAATATTTATTCATCTAAAGATCTAACCTAAACTCTGGACTTAGATGCAAGCTCGCACTTAAAATCAACTAATGAAAACTCAGCAGCCACGATAAATAAAAGCTAATATGGATTCCTACAAAAGATCAACAATGTTACTTTAATTAGCGACTAAGAAAAGGGTTGGAAAAAAAATGATAATCATTATATCTAGTCAAAGGACAGTTAAACTGTTAAAAGCAGACCATTTCAAACATTACCAAATAAGCTGTTTTCCCCATAAAATCACAAGTCACCCAATATCATGCAATAGTAAATGCCTACAGGATGGGAAGATAATTTACATAATAGATAGACAGCGGCAGCTCCAGATGATTACTCTTAGGAATTACATGACTTGTATATGAAACTGACTGAAAGAAAAAGCAGACTAGCTAGAGAGCCTGCCTTGAAAAATAAGACTATGCATAATTCTCACGAGAAAATAAGGTCTTAGAGAGTACTACCTTAAATAAACGTTTAAAATGATAATTTGCAAATAAACCTATTCAAAAATTATCAATAAATTAGCATTAAGAATGAAAAACTCTGTCTTAATATTGAGAAAGTTATGTTAACTAACAAAGCCTAGAACAACTACCATTCAATAGATAAAATTCTTTCATCCTGCAGAGAGGAGATTCTAAGATCAAAGCTACCTGTCGGGAAGCGGAACAATATTTAAGAATTATCCCCAAGAGTGAATTCATCAATTGGTGGATCAAGCAGTGTGTCCAGACTTCAAAATCTCTGATATGCAGTTTTAAAAAGTCTCAACTTCATTCAAATTTGTTAAGATCCATTTAAATTTCATATTAATTTTCGTTTTTAATATTCTTTTACTATAAATTTACGAATGAATATTTTGGGGTTTTGGGGTTTTGGGGTTTTGGGG